CAAGCCAGAGGGCTCTGGCTTGTGGAACTTTCCTTCCCAGGTGAGTGCAGCCCTTGCTGCAGTGCCCAGCCCTCCAGAGCCCTTTGGGAAGGTCCTTGGCTGGTCCTTGACACTGGCACTGTGGCACCCTGTGAGTCACTCCTCGACTTCCCAGAGTCATTGCACGTTGTTTCTTCTTTTCAGATTGCTCCTGACATCCCCAAATCCGTGGTGCTATAAAAACAGCCCAGCTTGTGCAGCTGCTTATTTCCTGTCTGACTGTATGAACCTCACTGGGCTTTAACTTTGTCAGCCCGAATTGCTGCCCAAGACTCTCATTTTAAAGTCTGTCCCCTCTAATAAGGGTGAAATGTGGATGCTGCCAGAGAGTATCTGCTTGCTTTGCAGTGGAAGGCCTTCATCCTCCCATGTTCTACCTGGGACTGGGGAGGATCATCTCCTTCTCCAAGCAGTAGGACTTGCGTGACTGCCGTGGAGCTCCGACTTGCTGCTCATGAATATTTCCCTAGAAAATGCTTCACTCTTCAAGTGCAGTGGAAATACATCCTGTGTTTTGAAGACTCTTTAAATTATTAGTCTAACTCAACTTCTCTTGGGAGAAGCTCCACTCAAAAGCCTGGAATTGAATGTAAAAGCAGTCTCTTTCAAATCCCAGAATCATTTGGGGTGGAAAAGATCTCCAATGCCACAGAGTTCAAGCTGTGTCCAATCCCCATCTTGTTCCCGGCCCAGAGCGCTGAGTGAGTGCCACATCCAGATGTTCCTTGGACACCTCCAGGGATGGGCACTCCAAACCTCTGTGGGCAGCCTCTTCCAATCCCTGATCCCCCTTTCAATGGGGAAATTCCTGCTGCTGTCCACCCTGAGCTGCCCTGGCCCAGCCTGAAGCCGTTCCCTCTCCTCCTGTCCCTGTTCCCTGGAGCACAGCCCGACCCCCTGGCTGTCCCCTCCTGGCAGGAGCTGTGCAGAGCCACAAGGTCCCCCCTGAGCCCCCTTTTCTCCAGGCTGAGCCCCTTCCCAGCTCCCTTCTCGATTTCTCCTAGGATTTACTGTCAGCTTTATCCAGATGCCTCATGCCAGTGTGGGAACAGGAGTTTGATGCTGAACAAAGATTCATTGAGGTATCTGCCAGTGGTGCCCATGAAAGAAAAAAGTCCATCATACATTTGTGAATAAACTCTTGGTTTAGGATCTTGGTGAGTTCAGGAATAGACAGGGACACATCGTAGGGGGTTGTGGCCATAAAGGCAATTTTCCTTCTCAGGGAAGTTGTCCCTGCCCATGGCAGGGATTCCAGTGAGATCTTTAAGGTCCCTTCCACCCCAAACCATTCTGTGATTCCTTGTCACGTTGTTGTAGTTATTGCTGGGAAGAGCCAGGGATGGAAATCTGAGCTGCCCAACCTGGATTTCATGGCCACTGTGTATATTTAGCTCAGGGTTCACCAGCCTCTGCCTTTGGAGCAGGCACCCGACACCCTGGGATTGCTTTGCATGTGGAATGTTGGAGCTGGGATGGGCAACGCCCCTCCTGGCTCCTCTCTCAGTGATCTTCATGTGTTGGAGACAGGAGCTATTTAAAGGGAGCTGTTTATCCAGAGCTTTGGAGACCAGGCCTGAAGGGTCAGGGAACAGGAAACTCAAAGGCTGAGGGGCTTTCTCCTGCAAGGCACACAAACACTCCTGAATTTGGGGTGGGAAAACAGAAAGTGCTGCTTGTTCAGGGAATTTAAGGGAGCTGATAAGGACTTCTGAGATGGGGAATGGCACATTCTTTCTTTGTTACAACCTCAGTGGCACTGGAGTGCATTCCACCTGGCTGGGATCAGTGGTAATCCAGAGCACTGCTCTGCTCCCTGTGTGAGCAGGGGCTGAGACAATCCCTGTGCACACAGAAAGCCCTGGGTTGCTGGAGCTGGAGACTATCCAGTGCTGATCCTTTAGCGAGGTGGATGGGGACAGTTGCTGCCTCACATCCTTTTTGGGTGGCTGACCAGGATGGGCTCGGTGCTTTTCCCCAGGACCAGGCAGAGCTGGGAGTTCATCTCCAAAGGGCTGTCACTGCAAACTGGTAGAGATGAGAAGGTGCTACTAAAAGTAGTAAGAACCTTCAAAATTACAAAAACCTGAAGGGGATTGTTGATGTTTGCCCTGAAATGTGGATATGGTTTTGGAACTCCCTGGAATAACAGCGTGTTAGGGATGGGGTGTGCTTGCTGAGCTCCTGGGTGGGAACCTGGGGTAGTCAGTGTGCTAATGGGATGCAGGGATGCAGTTTTTCTGGGAGGGGAATCTCTGAAGTTGGAATGCTCTGTACTAACAGGATGGGGAGCAGAGGAGCTGAGGAACAAGAACTGCTGGTGCAGGATGTGGAACTGGATCTTACAGGGAAGGCAAACACGGGCAGTCTGCAGGCCAGGCAGTGCCTGTTCCTGATAGTGCAGGCAGGCTCACTGGGGAGTGCCATTCCTGAGATCCCTGCTTGCCTGGCTGCTGCTTCTCCATGGCAGCTCTGGGAAACAGTGCTGGGGAGGAAGGAACTTGGGAGCTTGGGGTCACAATGCAGGGGCATTAATACAGTTAAACTCCTTAAAACAGTTCTCAGAGGTATTTCTCCAAACAGGAGAGCGGTCCTGGATAACCATGGGCCACAGGAGTTGGGATTTGCTGGATATATGGGTTTTCTCCTCTTCAGCAAGGCTTCTGGAACAGCCAGAGTCTTCCTCAGTTTATCATGTGAGGGGATGGGGTGATACCTCTCAGATAATTTTAAGACCCAACACATAAGAAGAAATCTTTGCAGCCACAACTTCAATTTCAGCAAATCTGTCACTTTTTAGATGTCTAACACTTCTGCTTGTCAGTGAGAACACCCCCTAACTTAAAGAGCATCAATTTTACAATGGGGGCAGTTAAGACCCCCACAGTGCAGGAATTCTGCCTTCAGGGGTTATTTGGATAGCAATCAGAGGTGCAGCTTTACCACAGAAAAAGTTGGTTTGCCCAGACCAAGAAGCTGTGGTGGATTTTATCTCACAGTTACCAGGCTGACCCAGCACTGCCCCATTTCAACTGGAGCAGCACTAAAAAAGGAGCTCCTGCTTCTCATTTTCTTCAATTCTGCCTGAAAAGAGAGGTCTCTGGCTTGTTTTTCTTAACAAATAAGGTAAAGTTTTGGTGGTTTCAGTGCAAAGAGATTGGAATCTCTTGTGTGAGAGTGGATCACAGCAAGAGCTGTGGGCTGGAGGCCAAGGGAGCAGCCAGTGGGGCTGTGGTGCCCTGGGAGGGGCTGGGGGTGTTCTCCGGGGGGAAGGAGCTGCAGAGGGACCCTGATGTCCCAGTTTGTCACAGGATGGCTCACCTGCCAATAAGGGTGTGGAGGAAGGAGGTGTGGTGTTGGTTTGTGGTGTGTGTTAGCTGTGTCCCTCTGGGGAGGGCACTGAGCACCTGGTGCAGCTGAGTCCTTTCCTTAATTAATGTGGTAACTCCCCTTCCCGACCCTCCTGGAGGGAGCAGGACTCTTCTGGAAGGCTTTTCTCACTCCTGAGTGCTTCACTGAAGCATTTAAAATGACACTTTCCACTGGGCTGTTTCCTCATTTAGCTAAAAGCTCTGGCATTTCATTTCCCCGGAACACGAAATGTCCATCTGAGGGGAGAGGAACATGGCTTGGTGTTTCTGTCTGACTGCTGGGCAGGTACTGAGATGGTGTTTTCCTGGGAGATTGGCTGCATGACTTGCAGTGGTGGAGAACAAGTTGATCATTTATTTCTCCATGTGGATTGAAATGCTTTAACTCTGTGGCTCAGTTTGTGTTCTCTTCTGCAAGGGGGCTAGAAGGTGTAATTACTGGGATAGAATTTTTTTTTTAACAGCTGTGTTTGCTTCACAATTAAGAAACATTATCAACAGAATGTAAAAATATTGAAATGGAAAAATTTGGAACAGGACAGCCAGGTCAGGAGATGGTTCCTGGTAAATCTGGTGGGAGCAGCTGCCCTGGAATCATGGCAAAAGCAGGAAAAGAGCTGCAGCAGATCAGGGGGCTCGTGACTGGGATGTGGCTGTCACAGGTGGCTGGGCAGGTGTGACAGGGACTGGCAGAGCCCTGTGAGCTCTTAAGCCATTCATTGAGCACCTGAAATGCTGCTTAGGCCAGGGACGTCCTGATCAGCCCAGATTAATTCAGATTTAATGCTGTGTTTGGAGAAACCTATTAAGGTGTGCAAGGAGGGAGAAGTGGCTCACAGTTTTCATGGAATATCCTGAACAGCTGAGCAAGTGTTGATGGGAAATAGCAATCACAGGGTGGTTGGAATGTGGGGGGACCTCTGGGTGTCACCCAGGCCACCCCCCTGGCAGGGCAGGGTCCCCTGGGCTGTGTCCAGGGGGTCTGGGATGTCTCCAGAGAGGAGACTGCAGCCCCCCTGGGAGCTGTTCCAGGGCTCTGCCCCTCCATGGGCAGAGGCTGTTCCTGCTGCTGAGCTGCAGCTGGTGTGGTTTGGTTTGTGGCCACTGCTCCCTGTCCTGTCACTGAGCAGAGTCTGGCAGCCTTCTCCTGGCACACAGGTTGGGAGATTTGTGTGGATTGATGGGATCCCTGGGAGCTTTCCCTTCTCCAGCCTGAGCAGGCCCAGCTCCTGCAGTCTCTGCTCATCAGAGATGCCCCAGAGCCCTGAACATCTCTGTGGCTCCTGCTGGACCCTCTCCAGCAGCTCCTTGGCCTGAGGAGCCCAGAGCTGGACACGACACCCCAGCTGTGCCTGACCAGGGCTCAGCAGAGGGGCAGGATCCCCTCCCTCCCTCCTGACCCCAGCATCAGGAGATCTTACTGCTGCTGAGGAGGGAACACCAGGAAAAGCTGCCTGGATTGCTGAGGGGGACTGCAGCAAAACCTCCCAGGTCTCAGTTAATTCTGAGTAACAGCACTCATGTCCCAGCATCCCTAACTCCTGCCATCCCAGGCTCTGCTCACACAGTTCCTTCTGCTTTGTCTTGCAGATAAGCAGCTCCTGAGGACTGAAGTACCTGCCCAGGGAACACCTGCTCCTGAGGTAGGAACTGATTTTCTGCTGACCCAACAGGAGATGTTTCATTGAGAAGCAGGGTTTGGTACAGCTGTGTGTGCACCAGAGCAGCTGTGCTGGGAGCTGCAGCCACCACCCAGAGATCTGAGATGAGAGTTCTGCCCCTGGGAACTTGTGTGGAGCAGGCATGGCTGGAATGCACTCACCTTCCCATTCTGTTCTGATAAACCTTCTAATTACTGCTCTTTTACATCCTGCCAGTTAAAATCCTCCCAGACAGAGTCATAGAGAGGTTTGAGTTGGATTAAACCTGTCCAGTGCCACCCCTGCCATGGCAGGGACACCTCCCACTGTCCCAGGTGCTCCAAGCCCTGTCCAGCCTGGCCTTGGGCACTGCCAGGGATCCAGGGGCAGCCACAGCTGCTCTGGGAATTCCATTCCAGCCCCTCCCAGCCAGGAATTCCCAATTCCCAATCTCCCATCCATCCCTGCCCTCTGGCAGTGGGAGCCATTCCCTGTGTCCTGTCCCTCCATCCTGGGAACATTCCCAGCTCTCCCAGCCTGGCTCCAGAGCAGAGGGGCTCCAACCTTTCAGGTATTTATTGAAGTTTCAGACATTGCTGGGGTTCTGTTTGGGATAACAGGGCTGGTGTGGAACTCCAGGCTTATCCTTTCTGGCCACTTGGACTTTGTTTCCTTGCCTTTTCTGCTTCAAAGGACTTGCATCTTGTTTAACTTGGTCATTCAAATCTTCTTTTTATCAGAGTAAGAGGACTACAAAAGATTAAAATGGGTAAACTAGGCTAAGAAAAACAAGTCTGATTTGATTTGTTAGGAATTGGGAGCAGCAGATCATGCAAGTTTTATCTTATTTGTCCTTTGGGGGAAGGCACAGCAAAGCTCCAGTTCTGGAATGTGCCATCAGCTCTGCAGTGGGGACGTTTGAGGTGCAGGTGCTCACCTGATATGCTTTGGGGGAGGAATTGCAATTTATTCCTGATTTTTGTGTGCACTGAGAGACCCAGGTGTCTTCTGCAGAGTAGTTTGGGATTGTTCTCAAATGCTGGTTATGTCTTGAAGTCCTGACAGGAATGTCTGCTGTTTTCTTCCCCATTTGACCCATCCATCTGCCTTTTCCTGTAAAAAGGCCTGAGCTGTCAGTGGCAGAGCTGGTTCCACCCTTGGCTGTCAGGAGTGCAGAGGGGTCACACGGACAGAGCTCTCACACCTTGATTTACCATCACCAGCTCTGTCCACTGTCATCTCCTGCAACTGCCTGCAGGTCACAGGAGCCTCACAGGTCTCCTAAAACTCAGTTATGGGATAAAATTATTCCTCAGGTGCCTTTTTTTTTCAGTATCCTTAAATGTCAGATGCAGAGATAACACTGTAGGTGCAGAGCTCTTTATTTTCAGTGGGGCTGATGCTCCTGTTCATGGTGGGACTGGAAGAGGCTCCTGTGTCCCTGTTCCTGAGGGGCCTGGAAGGTTGGAAGGTGCTCCCAGTTCCTGAGGGGGCTGGAAGGTTGGAAGGTGCTCCCAGTTCCTGAGGGGGCTGGAAGGTTGGAAGGTGCTCCCAGTTCCTGAGGGGTCTTGCCCAGGCTCCCTGGGGCATTCCCAGCTCCTGCTGTTGCTCCCTGGAAGGTGCTCCCAGTTCCTGAGGGGCCTGGAAGGTTGGCAGGGGCTCCCAGTTCCCGAGGGGGC